CAAAAATGTATTTAAAATTAGTTATGATTACAAATTGTTCATGTGATATTGGAATTAAGAGTCAAAAAGGTGAAAGTACTGGAGGAGCATCATCTGAATTCCAACATGCAACACAGAATACTTGCCTTCCTAAAATTAACACAATCAGTCAGTCACCAAATTAATTTCATGATGTACATGGGTAACAAAAATGCCAACAAAAGAGGGAGAGAACAAGCAATTAAGATGAGGGATTAAATCTGACATGGGCATTTAGATGTGTTCAGTAGTCACACATAAAAGTGGCACCCCACTACTTTATAGGAGTTGTGCAAACAGAATGCAGGTCCCAGATCTTAGACCTCAAGATTGCTGAGGGGCCTTGAAACTGTTTCCCTTCCAACAAGATGAGCCAAAAATCTATCATCAGCTTATCTTAAAACTAAGACAACATGAGGGGGATCGCTGTATGCTTTCTTACCCTTGTAAGCAAAAAGCTAATTTTGTGACTCGGATCATAATCACTAAGGTCGAAAAATATAATCTAATCCATAGTATTTGGAGAAGTCCAAAATAAAAAGAATCCAGTTTTGACTTCCACTGCTCCATTCCTTATTGAGCAGCCACATCTTCCTTTGTGTAATGAAAACCACTCCTAAGCATACAAAAGACTGGAGTTAATCATGCTTGGTGAGTCAGATGGGACACTTTGGTTGAACATGCGCATGGTTTTTGAGTGATGGTCTAATTGTTTGTTTGTGATGAATGTGTCATTCTTTTTTTAATCACTTTTTAGCTGTTAATTTTGATAAATAATCTCGATCTTGTAGATTATGTTGGTGGTGGTTACAAAGTTATCTTCCATGTTCTATGTATGTGCACATCAATATGATCATGCAAGTGCATGCACATGTGCTGCAGGCTTATTCAGGAAAGATGGTACAACCTAGCTGAAGCTTTGGAGCAACTATGAGTTTTTTCTTCTCCTTCATCTTCATTTTCTTGTCTTTGTTGTTTGTTCTTGATTTTTCTTTTTCTCCCTTGTGAAGTGGGGGTTTTCCCATTTTCCTCTGAAAAAAGGTGATGCTGATATCGGTCAGTGGCTGAATCTATATGGGTACCATGGCTCGATACAAGGTACAGTCGGACCAGAGAGTAAAAGGAAGAGAAGAGGGGAGTAGTAGGAGTGAGGAACCAGAGGAGGAATTGAAGAAGGTGGAGGTGGGGGAAGAGGAGGAAGATGAGGAGGAGATGACACATAGGTGGTGGTATTGGGAGGAGCCAATTGCCGAGGTGGATGTGGCAGATGGCAGCGAAGGAGGTGCCTCATGGACTACATCTGCGGTGACGAAGATAGAAAAGGCTTTAAACTTCACAGATTTCTGAAAGCTGTAGACAAACTGTTCAGCCAATTTTGCTTCATACAACTGGTACACACATGAAATAGGAAGTGGACCAACCAGTTTGCTTGCTGGTTCGCTCTCGAATGACCAGATCATTCCATACAGTATGTCTGATATTTAAAACCTTTGATTGGATATCCATGAAATGTTCAGAATTGTTGGCTTTAATGTTGCCTATGTGAGTCTCAAAATCCCAAGGGGGAAGTCTTGGATATCCATATGGCTCCAGAAGTGTTGTTCTCATAATATTACTGGTTTTCGTAGCTGTTCTCATAACTATGCTCCATCCTTCGTTACCTGAGCTTTAGTGTCACAAGTTCCTAAAGCTGCTAGAGAAGTTTGGAATGGCACATGAAGTTTGACTCAGAGGTCTAATTTGTTCTCTGTTCTAGGGTGTGTAAAATTTGATGGAGCATTTTCATGTTCTAGATTGAATCTTTTACATTACAAGATGGACATGTATAGCTTTGGTGTATGCTTTCAAGAGATCTGCTGCTGCGACATGCCATAACCTGACCTCAGCTGCCCTTTGCTGTTTGACAGGTTACTTCCTTTCTATTTCAATTTACATTATACTGAAGCAAAAAATGTGGCTAGAGCTTCTCTTGTTATGGTTGGTTCAGAGTTTCCTGCTGCTTTAGATATGAATTTAATGAGATATCTCAGAGTCTCACTTGCCATACTGAAAATTGCAGCTTATGTTGCCAGCAATTCATCATTGTTGTTCAAGTTCTTGGGAGATGCAAAAAAAAAAGAAGCCTGATGCTATGAAGATCTTGCAAGCAATTAATACCAACAAAAGAGATGGTATGATACTCGAAGATAAGGCCGGTAGCCGTCTCTTGCTATCTCCTAACTCGGTGACCATAAATTCACTTATTTATTATCCTTGTATATCCAAATCTTTTTTATCTCAATTTTTCCTTAATGGAAACAAGATGAAAGGATTATGGAACTGCAATTTTTTGCTTGCTTTGAAAAGGGCATTGCGTTGAACTTATGTATGTTTCAGTCTGGTGGCCAAGGAAATGCAATGTACCAATTATAGCTTTGACTTTTTTTTTGATCTTAGGCTGTTTAATTAATTGCTCGGCAGGATGTAGATGCTATTGATGTTCATCCTATTGTCAAACTTGGAGATGTAGATTGAATATGAGTGCAACAGCAGAATTCAACCACAATAGCAATCACTCAGTTTTGTGACACTGAATATGACACTGTAGCTGAAGTTGCATTATGAAACCAAAGTAGAAAAGTCTAATTCTGTAACCATTTGTTTTCTGTAAAATAGCATATGTATCTAAATATTTCCTTGCAAAGTGATTTTTGTAGTTGTCCTCATAACTATAGTTTTATCATATTTGTTCCTTGAAAACCTTATAACCTTTGTAGAGAGATGGACAATAGTTTCCTCTTTTGGAGAAGAATTTATATGATTTCTACAATTTTTGTAGTAGAATTTTTTTCTTAATTATTAAATTTGTTATAAATAAATTGCATTTCATCCTACATAACATTTTTAGTGAGTAGAGAAAATGGGAAAACTCATTGAGCAAAAACATGAACAGAACTAAATACTGTTTATGCTCTCATTTCCAAACCTACGAAGGACAAAAGAATCAAAATCCAAGAACAATAAAGATTGTAATACCGATATCTTCGTCAACTTAGTTAGCTGGCATCCTCGATCGAAAAGAAGCTTCTTATGGATGGGTGAGTCGAGGAAGAAAAGTACGCAGCCGGCCGAGGGACTTCTCACGGTGTCGAGGTCTCACCGGCCACGACTTGCTTGCCACATTACGAGTCGCATTCGTTGTGACGCGAGTTGATTCCGATGACTGACATTATCCTGCTATCATCACATCCCTTTCACTCTCCATGACTTGCTTGCCACACTACGACTCGCGTTCGATGCGACGCGAGAAGAGACTCGACCCCTCCGCCGTCTCGCCGGGATGGGTTTACACTGGAAGCAGAGAAGCGTGAGAACAGAGTTGCTTGGCGTTACTTTTTCCTTCTTTTGGCTTGAATTATATACTTATAAAACTCGGATTCGATCGATCCATCGAACCGAAAAATCTCGAATTCTCGATCGCTTGAAACTAACTCTTTATTTATTATAAAGATTATGAATTTTTTTCATTTTAAGAATGAAAGATAAGAAAACTGTAACCTTCGAACGAAAAGTTCGACCGTAGAAATCCTCGATCTTAACGTAGAGGACGACTGAGGTTGACATGAACTGTTTGCTTCTCTTTTTGCAGTCATTAGCCATGACTTGCTCAATCATTCCTCCTTGACGAGAAGGATCCGATGATCTCCTTTGGATCACACATTTGCGTTTGGCATGTAATGCATGTTTTCAAAGGGAGAAAATTGGAACTCATGATGCCAAAACAGAGCAGAGAAATTTGTGACACGTCGAGGCTGCACAGATTGAGGAATCCAACTGGGCGAAAGAAGAAAGAAAGGAACAGAGAAAGAATTTAATTGCTTGCCGGTCTCCATTGCCTGCTCTGAGATCGACATGGTTTGACTTCGAGCGCTCCAGTCTGACGCGACCGGTGTCCATGGTCGGAACTCATGCATCCCGTCTTGGGGGCAAGGCGGCATTAACCGATCCTCGCCGATGAAATCGTTCCACGTGCCGACTTATGGCGTGATAGGATCGGCCGTACCACGGCCGTCGCGTCACGACTTAGCATCCGACAGCGGGTGTGACGCACGCCCGCAGGTGCGTCATCCATTCGTTGCGACTTAGATCGCGCCACCGAGAAGTGTCTTTCATATTCGTGTCTCAAGTCATGCACGGCGACGAAGTACACATGGCACGTATTTCGCCAACTGGCCCATACGATCGTTGCACGAATCTCAACACCATTCCATCGACACAATCTAGGAATCTAAAGGCGCACGACGACGCTGCGGTTAGAAACGGTGAAAAGCCCGGACCGACCGGACCGGTCGAAGTTCACAGGTTAGACCGTTGGATCAAATGATTTCTAAAATATATTTTTAATTTTATTTATCATTAAAGATATTTTTGTTACATTTGTTACACTCTCATTCCATCTCATCCTCTTTCACTCTTATCATAAAACTTATTGTATAATATTATCTATATATTTTACATATTATTCTCAAGCATGTGGTTCAACCGGTTGGTGGCCTGAGATTAAACCGGATTGATGGTCTGCCCGATTTGATAACCACTATTGCACGAATCTCAGAGCAACAGTAATCGAAGGGATCACAAGAGCATGCAGAGTTGCGTGAAGTCAGTCAGCAGGTAATTAAGGGTGTTGGTCGACGTTGCTCTCTTTCACATTCGCAAGGAAGTGCCTAACATTCCTATTCCTATTGACAGGTTTGCGAGATACCACAGCAACCACAGGTTCTATTTTTCGGCATGGGGTTGATCTAATCCAGCTTAATACGTGTAACCATGTCGACCAAAAGGGACATCATCTCACCTTCTCCTTCTCCTTTTTATACTCAGAGAATTGTGCGGCACAGGATACTCTCGTAAGAACTCCTTTGTTAGGTTTCTGCATACCCTCCACTGCTTCTTTCTCTCTTCGTCTCTCCATTTCCACGCACAGAGAGAGAGAGAGAGAGAGAGAGAGAGAGAGAGATGAAGGCCAGTGCTGGAGTTGAAGGTGCCAAGATCGAGAGGAGGACTGTGGAGAGGAACAGGAGAATCTGCATGAAGAATCTCTGCTTCAAGCTGACCTCCCTCATCCCCAGAGACACAACCATGTCCAAGGTACATATTACATACGCATATATATTCATATATATAACACGCATAGATGGGCGAAGGAGGGTAAAAAATCTAACTCTGATAGCTTTAGAATTCACTCTCACCACACTGAACTCATCTCATCTGTTTATAGGGGTCGATACTATGTACATTACGATACTCGAAAGAAGATAGAATGTTAAGGGTTCATTCGGCTTCCCATATGACATGTTTTTCTTTATAAGATATTCTTACAATTAATTTACTGGATATATAGAATCATCTTTTCAGATATTACGACAGAATTTTGCTTCCTTGTCATCTTTCCAAGATGAGAGAGTCTTAGACGACTGATAACAACCTGATTGCCTCCATTCTCTAAGACGACTGATATCTTCGACTTGCAACTCTATGATTTTAGGCTTTCTACTATGATGAAGGCCTAATCTGTTGCTTGTTTCTAACGCAACAGCGTGCCATGAGAGACCAAGATCAGTTGGACCAAGCTTTCAACTACATTAAAGAGCTGCAAGGGAGAGTAGAGAAGCTGAAACAGAAGAAGGAAATGAGGAGAATGACGGCAGACTTACACTTCCTCCTGGTTGAAGTGAGAAGCATGGATTCTACCCTACTGGTGTCTTTCGTTTCCGGGTCGAGATCAAGTTACATGTTTGGCAAGGTTATCGGGGTCCTCGAGGAAGAAGGTGCTGAAGTCATCAGTGCCAGTTTCAATCTTGTGGGTGGCAGGATCTTCCACACCATTCACTGTCAAGTAATCATCGACTCAAACATCATTAGACAACCTAGATTTTTGGATGACCAATCTTCGTATCCTAGCTAAGGTCATCCGAACAACTGATATCGAGCTTCCTGCTTAGTTCAAGATCACCATTTTATTTCCTTGAATTTTTGTCTTTAATTTAGATTTCTTTTTTTTTCTTTCTTTCTTTCCAGTTTCATTGAAAGCTCATTCAGTTAATTGTGTCTTTATGCATTCTTCACCAGCTTAGGACTTTCCATAAATAACTTGACGACTGTCTTTTTCTAAATTCTCATAAAGCAATTCTATAAATGTGTATATGACAATGATTTTAAATGTACATAAAATATCAAAAATTAGGCATATCAACTACACAAAAAAAAAATGTAAATTACTTATGGAGGAAGGTGTTCAATTTTGCTTTTTTTTTCAGAACATATAACATTTGGAGCACACCATTTGCATTAATTAAGCTATAGTTTATGTAGATATGTTGCACTCTCACTTACTGTTGTCTCAGTTCATTTGCACACTTGATTACATCACAAGTTGTTTCAAATGACAAGAAATCAATTCTCCTATAACCAAATTGGTGAAAGAAATATAAAAAAAAGTAATATTTTGATAAACCTTGATTAGACATAATATCTGATCATTATTTCTGGTTGTTTTACATGCAATCCACAGGCTTTTTGTTCAAGAATTGGTTTGGAGCCATCAAGTGTAAATGAGAAATTGAAGAAGTTGGCTTGTTGAGGATGCAACCTGCAAGATTACTTCAAAACATGGAATCTTTACAAAGTGTCACAATAGTTTCATGTGACTGAACTGTTATTATGCAAATCAAACTTTGAATCAGGATTCTTCTTAGAAGCTAAAATATAATTGATATCATGGAATAATGGACACTGTGTTTGTTCTTATCCAGTTGGTAATAGCCCTATGTGAGGCTAAGTTTGATGTTTATGCTAAAGTCCCTTAATTATGTATGTGTAAAAGTGTGCACATTGTAATAAGATTACAATAGTGAATGACAACTATTCCAATACCTCTCATTTTCCTCTTAATTAGTCATCTTTTCATGTAAATACCTGTGCATAAAACCAAATTGGTTTCAAGAATGATCGTTAAAGTGGTTTTCGATCCTATCGAGCATCAAACAACGGGACGATTGTTAATATAATATTGAATGAGATTAGGATTAAATTTTTTTATTATGAGTTTTTGATATATATGGTTTGTTTTTTCCTAACTCAAATAGGATATAATTTTAACACCAAATATGATATTGTAAACAATTTAATATGTGAAAAATCCATCAATGTGAAGGTAAAAATCATGACCAAATATGATATTGTAAAACTATCAATCTCTCTCTCTCTCCCTCTCTCTCTCTCTCACACACACACACATTCTCTGTCTCTGTAAAGCTACTGGAAAAAGAGAGAAGCCTAACAAGATGTAGGTATAGTCTATGCTCCACAGCAAGATGAAGATCCTCTCTCTATAAAAGGAGGAGGAGCAAAGACCTCTCTCTATAAAGAGAGAGCTGAAGCTTCTGCTATCTTTTTCTCTCTCACTCTCTCTCAAGCTACTGGAAGAGAACAGAAGAGAAGAAGCAGTAGAAGGAGCTCAAGCAGTCGTAAGCTGAGCTCATCTCTCTATAAGAGGAGGAGGAGGAGGAGGAGGAGGAGCACACATGGTTAGTGTTCAGAAAACGCTATTTGACTGGATTGAATCAACCCCGTGCAAGAAACAAAACGCTGCGGTTAATGTGATCCCTCTCCTACCTGACGATGCTATCATTGACGCATATGAATGTCACACATCAGGAACGTGAGACACTCCACGCTGAGAACACCGCCAGCCTCTCAGGACATCCGATTCCATGGCCTAGCGGCCGGCGCTTTCACATGCTAGCGACGACCCCACGGGCAAGATAAGGCGCGAGGTGATTCGTGCGACACCAACGGGCGACCTGGCCCGCCGGTAGTCCAGTTGGCGCTTCCAGATTCGGGCGTTGATCCGACAGGCCAGTCGGCGGACGGCGCGCGTAGGAGAGAGACGGCACGACGGAGGTCACGATTGACCCTACGAGGCTTTTGTCTTCCAGCTACGAAGCGAACGTCACGGAACACGGATGGGCCCACAACGAGGTGGCAGATCTCAATAAGGACCACGAATCCCCCACTCGGGTCACGACAGATGGATGTGCGTCATCGGGGGACCGAATCGCGACGCGAAAGCATTAACCGCTTTGTCGTGACGTGAAACCCATTATTATTATTATTATTATTATTATTATTATATAATTGAATTTTATTATATTTTAATTTTAATTTTGTAATTGTCTTTGAAGTCAAAGTTCCTCGAAAACAATCCGACGGCATTGAATCAATCGAGGCCTGAGGACTTAATCAGAGGGCGACCCAACGACAAGTGATCACCTCTTCGGCCCCCATACAGAGAACAGGAAGACGAGCCAATGCCTCGTCAAAGCAGCAGCGGGCGTCGCACTTTGGAGCGATTTCAGTGAAGAGGATTGGTCGGATTGAGGAGAACTGGTATGACTGTGGAATTGTCATTAATGACAGCATAAGAAGCAATGTACTCTTACATTGTAAGAATGCAATTATCAGATGTCTCAAAAAAGAATAAATAGTTTTGCTTTTGGATCTTAATGACACCAACCAAAATAAAATAATCATACAGTCAAAAAATAAATTATTATATTTGGTCCAATCCAAATTGGTCAAACAATTCATACTTAGTACAAATATTTTTTTAAAAAGAAAAGAAAAGATGGAAAGAAAGAAAAGAAAATTTCTGAGTTCTCTGTTTCTCAAATGGCAATAGATCTTAACTTGACTATTAATAATAAAATCATCAGACACTTACGGTAGAACTAAATTTTAGATTTTAAATTTTACGAGTAGAAATCCTCAAAAATGGAAGCTGAAAATTTAGTTTTTAAATTTTACTCATGTCATTCAAAAATAACATAATATGGCAAAAAAAAAAAAAAAAAGAACTCCTCATAGTTAGAAACTAAATTGCTTTGGACTAGACATTTACGATAGGACGATAACACTTCAAAGACGAAATTGCAGTTTTTTCTCTTTTAATTTTGTATTTAGATTATTTTAATTCATTTCTTCCATTCAAAGATTATAGTACTGAACAGTTATATCTAGACATGGCCAAAGCTACAATTGCTATGAGATAATCAAAACTATCAATATCAAGGTGTGCAAAAAAATAATCTTACCATTGTACTAAGGCTTACCATCAAACTACTTATTGCAAATATCTCTAGGCTTTATATGGGCAGACCAAAGGCACTCATTCCATGTATCATGCGAGCAATTTGATATATCAAGGTTAATGCATCAAGTTTGAGCCAAACCATAATGAACGACTCAAATGTCAACATGACAAAACTTATTTATTGACAAATAGTTTACGGTCTGTTTATAGGTAAATCCATAAACAGTGGGTATATATATCTATGGAGGTGTGATTTACTTGCACGCACCTTTGGAATATGAATCCCGAAGTGTAGTGGTTCTGTTGAAGACCAGCTTACTTGGGGTAGAATCTGGATCCACAGCAAAGTAGCCTGAAACAATAACGGATGAATCAGGTGAAGAAAGAGGGAAGTCAAGACATGACAGTCTTCATAGGAGATTTATATAAAAAGTAGACTATTAGATGTTTATGTTTATATATATAGATAAGGCCAATAGATTAAAATCATAAACATCAAGAGTTAAAGAGTAGAGCAGTCGATTATGACACAGACATCACGAGCCAAATCTTTTACCATCCTTTCTGCCAGCAGTTTCATTGTGAATGATGATCTCTGCTGAAAATTTCTCTTTTTAGAAACAGATTAGAAATGAAGACCCGAAAAGTACAAACCTACTAATCAAATGAGGCAAGAGGAGAAAAACAACAAATCAAATAAAGGACAAAACTTGGAGACAGCAAGCTCCTATGATGAATTGCAAAGCTATCCAGTTGATGAAAGGTAAATAACATGAAATAACTATGTTCTCAAAGACATGATTTATAATAATAAAAATAGGATGACATGACCGATTTTTTACCAGTTGAGTTAACACTTGATTTTAGAACACCAGTCTTTAGGAAAGAAAAAGAAAGGCAATAAGCTGAATCCAGACTATGATGCAAGAAGTATACATTGGCACACAAAAGTAAGAAAAAGAGATTACCGAGCCTCTCAAACTGAAACCTGTCTCCTAACACAGCATTAGCAAGAGATGGAACTGCATATGCTTCTGGAATAACCTCCTTCGAGTGCAGATTCAGATCAGATAACCAGTCCTCCAACTCGGCCGGGTCCTGAAGTGCGAGGGTAACTCAGAAAATGCCAACTTATTGCACAAAAATCGCATCTTGGAAGCACAAAAAAGGGACAAGTGAAGCAGAATACCAACCTCTGAAAGGAATAATTTTTCAAATAACCTCACCTCCACCTTCAGAGGATCAACACCAGGAGAAGGTTGAGCAACCCAATGGAGAACACCCTGGATTTGTTATAAATTTCAGTTAATTTACATATCATCACTCGGGTTGCAGTTAGTCAGTGCTTGACTAACAACCATCAAAGAGCAGAATTAAACCTTTGGCTTTATTTTCTTTGAGGGATCATACTCAGCATGGATCTCAAAGATAGTGTCACTATCTCCATGGATAACTTCTGTGCACTTTATAGGGAAAGCATATCTGAAAGGAAAAGAGTAAACATCAGTTTGAAATGTTGTTGCTTCAAGTGCAAAATTAGAAATATTTGCATTTTACCAGTTTCAAAATATCACTTGCCTGAGGAGAACAGATTTACCAGGCGCAAGCCCGTAGTAGTCTTTTGAATTATTAAGGCGAAAATCTGACTGTTCAATATAAACAACACTTGTAAATGGAACCTGTAATGAGAATGGCAAGTTGTTAATGAAACTAGCCATACTAATTACTTTGCGACAGAAAAAACATCAATGCAGTGGAAACACATGTCTAAATATGTGAGATGATGAAGTCTACATGAACTTTTTCATGGTTACCATAAATTACATTAAGAAACTAAAATGCTGAGAAAGAAGAACCATTCAACTAAAAGGCAAGTCATGTCTCTGTCTTTTTGGGTTAGTAGGAGCACAACCTACTGAGAAGTACATGCACGCTTTGGTGTGCTCCTAGGCGAAGTGGCAAGTCATGTCTCTGGTGTGCTCCTGGGTGAAGTGGAAATTTCAGCCCTCAAAACTTTTGTCCTTGTTTTCCCAGTATCCAATCGGGACTGAAAAGCCGACTAGAACAACTAGTCCAACTTGTAATATGAACAACTAGTTCATATTACATTAGATCGAAGTCATGTGACTAAAAGAACACAGTATCTGTTATGGCCACCGATATAACTAGAGCTGTGCAAGAAAAGGAAATTCCCAAGTGATGTAAAATTCAAATTCTTTATTTTATTGGTTAGTACAAAACGTTAGCAGCACAGATTGGCCTCACGCTGTCATGTGGCAACAAACAAAAATATGATTATTGCATGATATTAGATATGGAATGCAAGAGTTTACCAGACCAATTATTCAGTGCCAAGAACTAATGCATCTATTACTATTTAATCTAAGATACAAAGAAATTTTAGCAAAATTGGCCAAGTGAGATCACTTTATGGATATTAGACATGACATATTCAGTTTAAGTAATATCCAAACAAAGGTAGGATGATGACTCAATATTACATACACACATGTGCTCACCATTCTAGCATGGATGATATCAAAGTGCATCTTTTAGCATAGTAGGGGCAAGATACGATTAAACAGTCACTCCAAAAATAGCCCATTAAGGACATTGGTGATTAGTGTTGTGCGTACTAGTGTTATGATCTTCAGAACCATGTCCAATTTAAGAGAGAATTAGAAATTCATTTGTTGATAAAGCACTGAGACACTTTGGATCGTCCTTTTGGTCGAAACAAGAACCTCAGAGAACTTGCAGCAAGCAGAATTTGAAGATATATGCATCAGCCATAACACACGACCTGCTGATAACTTAAGAAAATTACCCATTGTGATATTCAATGTTGTTAACCCCACTCAAAATTTGTCAAATATCATCTTTTAGTTTGCATGTGGACCCAATGCACACTTCAAATGTGAATTGGTCCTTGATATTTTTTTTTCAAATCGCATTTGGTTTGGATGCTGCATTGCAGATGCTCAGATGCTGATGCCACCTCAGGGTAGCATTAACATTTCAGTATTTGTGGAATGCTAATAAAATTTTTAAAATACCCTATGATATTATCTAAAATCACAAGATTGCCAAAATTATTTAGTGAGAAACCAACATAATTTATGTCTTCTGTAAAGTGAAATCTTATTTATTTATTTTTAAAGATTATTTTATATCCATTTATCTGATTATATTTTTATTTATCATACATTTGGGTCATATGAAATTTTTTTATAAGATTACATACATTTATTTATTTATTTTACTTATTAATTTAAATAAAAAATATGTATTCACTCTTAAATAAATATTAAAAATATTATAAGGGTAAATTTGTCACATGATATTCAATGAACTTTTGAAATACAATTTTACAAAACAATATTTATGTCGATGCACATTTAAAATATAATTTTCAACTATTGTTTATCAAACACTTAAAACATTCTACAATTGCACATTCTCTCAAGTCCCATTCTCCAAATACACATTAAAAATATAAATGTGTATTTCCAAACACAGCCTCAATAAGGTTGTGGAAGTGAACTTGGGGGTTCCACGCCTATTGCAAGAGCTCCACAAAATTCATCTCTGATTCAGTTTTCTGATTGATTTTTAACAATTAGTAATGAACTAATGCTGCTACAGTGTACCAAAATGGTACCAGCTCCAGCAGCCATACCAACCTCAAGAAGCCAAGGTGAGAAAGCTTATTTTGAAAACTTTTTGGTTGCTTCAAAGACATAGGTGAAACCCTAAAAAGTATAATTATTGATAATTTTTTCACTACCAACAATGAAAGAGAACTCTAACTAGTTTTTTGTGTTTCTTAAATTGCATACCAATACGCATGGCTTACAATACCATACTGTACTGCTTGGTACGGACGATACATATTGGTCTGATAGAGGACCGGTACGGATGGTATATCGGTACACCTTAGTATATCATGTGTCGGTATGCTCGGTACATACCATACCGATAGCTGATTGGTACACCGGTATGGTACGATATTCAAAACCTTACCCATACGTAATGATTCACAACAACTAGCAACTAGATTTATGAATCATGGTATAAAATCCGAATGTAAAGGTGGATATAAGTCAATATCTATCAGTCCAACCATGAATCGGTACACAAATCATAGGTTTTTTCCCTGGTTCATACTGGCTTATCTCAGTATGATTACTATATTAGGCATACCATCCAGTTTTTAAGGTTGGCACAAGGTGTGCCTAAGAGAAAACCTATCACCCAGTACCCCCATTTTTTTAGTTTTGACAGCTTTCTAACAGTTGTCTTTTCCTTTTTCTTTTCTCCTAACATTCTTTCCTCTCATGTGTTGTCCCTCTCTTTTTCTCATGTCATCTCTCTTCCCTCCTACACCTCTTCATTTTCCCTGCAGTATTGCTGCTGCTGTCTCCTCCACCCCATTGCATCGTTGACGCCATCTCGTTCTTTGTCTCTGGTACACCTCTTCCTCTGCCTCCTCAACCTCCATCTACTCCTCTTCCTCTTCCTCCCCTCTTTTCTTTCTCTTCATATCCGATCCAGGCCTTACCAACCAATACCAAGTATTGATGTGTCAACCCTCCTAGTCCATTTGCCAACTGATATCGGTGCCTGACCTAGTTTTTAGACCTTTATATGAATCATTGTGCTCTTCATGAAATATATCACAACTTGAAAGGGCTTTTATTGGTTTTGCTAATTACATATGTAGAGTTGATGGTGCTTATATGTGTCTAAAATAAGATAAATTGCATCATTTTAGTGTGTAAAGTAAACAAAATTTGGCAAGAAAAAAAAATGTTATGGACCTATGGTTAAAGGTTTGACAAGCAACAAGGCACTGCTACAGTTTTGCAGGCATGCCAAATTTTATCCATAGCACATAGAACAAGATGTCATTGAGGCATAAATGACTGCATTGGTAATAGAAGCCTAAAAGCCAAAATCTAATATAATCCATTAGCTAACATGCTAGCAACCTAAACATTTGGGTAGTAAGCTGTAGATTCTGCCACATAATTCACTCACAATCAGTTGAAAAGAGAAATCATCTGGTAACATAGTGATATCACCATTCCCTTAGACTACATTACCAAATTGTGTTTTGTGTTTGTGTTTCAGAAAGTAGTACCAATTCAAATGAGAAGCACAAACATCGCTAAAATGATAAATAGAGCACACAATCTTGAAATTCTAGGTTGTCCAACAAGTCGATATGAAGTCCTTAACAAGTTTCATGACCGTCTCAAGCATATCTAGGGAAAAACATTGAAAGGAAGGTAAATCTTATTTCAATGTATCAACAACATAGGAATTTTCTGACTGAGATAGCTCTTAAACATGAATAAATGATATATCAAAGGTACATTACTATCATCTAAAATTTTTGCATGGCCTCATGGAAATGATCTCCAGTTGCACATTCACAATGACTCAAATCAGGGTATTTAAATGATCTTAAGTTGTGAACCTTGTAATTAGAAGAAACATCATCTGACGAAACATCAGTCCACATCTTCACATCAAGATTCATTATCAATCCAGAATCAAGATTTGTGATAACCACCTGAGGTAACAGAGTCCATAAACCTAGAAATAAGCATCCATTAAGTAATAAAGGATATTTCTAATGATATGACTGATACCTTGAGAGGACGCAAAACAACCATAGTTCGAGGTGCAGTTTTGTTGAGTTCTTCTCTAATGTGATGTTCAAGGTGATCAACACGTATCATACTATTACCACTGTATGTCAAATTTTATTAGTAACCACATATGCAAAATCCACTGTTATTAAACATGCTAGAATAATGCCCTCATCACTGTAGACAATCAAAGAAGGCAAAAGAAAAAAATATTTACCACAATGACTCAACCAAAGATTTCCTAACAAGAAAAAAAAGGATCCAATGTCAATGAAGTAAAAAAGATCATCTAGGTTAACAAGCAATCTAATCCTGTTTAAAAAACAGACCTTCTGCAGTCACTAGACAATATTTTAAAATTTTCAAGGGTGAGTAGCAAAATACACATCTGTAATTTGACCTGATTTTCACTTTACACCAATTGTTTAAGAAACAACAATTAACCTACACCAAGTTTGCTTCACATCTATAAGTACATCCTGTTGCTCACTAGTGTAATTTGTGCAGCAAACCATGACCTAGTGCTCTCTTTTGAACCACAAGGGACCAGCTGGGCCCATGCCTTACATGGTTCTGAAGTAAGAAAAACAATGATAGACACTCAATCATATTGACAAGTATCTGCCAATTTAATTTCACATTGGAACATAGCATTCTGAACATATCAAAGTAATACTGACACATGAATATTTTATATTATATTCCCAGCATCACACGTTCGTATATCATAGTGTACAGACAATCATAATTGTTATACAGTGGACTGGTATATGGTACTGATGTATATGTAAATACTTGAAGAAAAATAAGAAATGTAACTAATCATAGAACAGAAAACATAAACTAGCTGAAAGCTTGATAGAGTCGCTCGAGAAAGAAAGTTGTATTCTAGGTCAACACAGAAAAGAGCATCTTTGCCTAATTATCAAAGAAATCTCTCTATCAAAGATAACAATGTATGAGTTTTCTATGAATGAGGTAAAAAGATCAAGCCAATTATGTCATTGTATAGCACCATATTCCAACAATCAAGGACTACTGTACCATCCAAAATGGTACGAAATGGGCAGTACGTACCGGTCAGGGCATGGGCTGATAAGTGGACAACCCCTGTTTCAGGTGGCCTGGTTAAAATAAAAAGAATTGGAAAAAGCGGTGGGCCCATCCAACTCGGTGTTAAGAAAAAAAACAAATTAGGGCTCACGAATGCGAGCCCTCTTCTCGCATACAATGATGCTGCCATCATCGCTGTCACTGTTTCACAGTGTCGCTGCCACCGCTGTTGCTTCCCAATGCCACTGCTTTGTGATGCCACTGCCACCTCCTCTGCTTCACGAATACTTACTCATGCTGCTGCCAACGATATTGCCCCGTGTTCCTTAATATTCCCAAGTACGTTCCCACCTCTTCTTCCTTCTCCTCCTACATCGCTTCTTCCTTCTCCCTTTCTCCTTCTTACTCTTTTGTTCCTCCACCACCACTTCTCCCTCTTTTTCTTCCAATGTGAAATACTGGTACATACCAGTGTACCATATGGTACACTGGTACTGACCGGTATGTACCGGTCCAACAGATCACCGAAACAGATCCGATACCCGCAACGGCAATCCTTGCCAACAATACTCCCATGTGTATTAGTTTGCATGAACATGAACAAAATATAGTCTGTATAAATGAAAATATTATCATAGTTTCCAAGGCCACCGGATGTCATCATAGTTTCCAAATATTTTAATTAAGATTGCAGATAAACAAAGATATCAATGGCAACTCCTTATAAGATAGTAAATAAACAACATGACACCTTCTTGTAATTCCAAGTCCTCGTATGAAAGAATTAATTGCTGTAGAAGACACTCCTCGGCGACGTAATCCAGCTAGTGTCATTAAACGAGGATCATCCCAGCCATCTACCCACTTCTCCTTCACTAGACGGTTCAACTGCAACAAAAGAAAACATGAACATGAATTTTTGGAAATAGATCATGGAGTATGTCATACATGATGGACAGCAAAATAACAGACCTTACGCTTAGACATCATCGTATTTGAAACATTTAGACGTGAATATTCCCAGACATATGGCTGGTAAAGTTCAAGAGCTAGTAATAACCAGTAGTACGAAGGACGGCGGATCTCAAACTCAAGAGAACATAGCTACAAAAGAATAAGAAAAATTTTAACAACATATTAGTACATGCATAAATAATTTTTTCAGTCACTATAACCCAAATAAAGAATAGAACTGGCATCACAAACAGAAACTTCACTGTTAATACATTTTCAAATACAGGCACATTAAACAATGGCCTGGCCACTAAGCTAAATGGCACCATTGTCTATTAGGTCATCCACAAACCACACTTTCCAAGGTTTCTTACAAAAAATTCCTTGCTAACCTAAAGCCAGTAATTGGAATTAAAAAAGAAAACTTGAGAATCATGATAACTACTTCAAATAAGGATAATTAACTATAAAGTAAGACCCACAAATACAGACACAGAAAGTATACTTTTATCTGAGATTATACACAAGGCATATTGTCCAAAAAATAATAAAAAATAGTATGACCTGAACAATTAAGCAAAATTCAACATCCATAACATGCAGTTAAAAGTTTCTGCTGCACAAATTTAATGTCATGTATTTGTATAAGAGAGATACTAAAGGGAATCATATATTTGAATAAAAGAGATATTGAAAAGAAAACAGAAATAAAACTTCAAATGAAATGAACACTCCAAATATGGATTGCATTATAATTGGATGATGTAATCAGGGATTTTAATACCGTTTCATATCGCCCGGTACAGGTGATACGTATATGTCTGCTAGTAGACCGGTACGCTAACCGCCCGCTACCGGACGGTATCAATCTTTTGGCCCTGTATCAAACGATAAGGGTCTATATCGGGTGGTAATGGTCAAAATTTCGATGTTACCAACCTATACCAACTGATATCGAGCGATAACAGGAGAAATAAAGCCCTCGCAGAAGAGGTTGCCTCCCTCCGACCTTGACTCCTCCGCTTCTGGTCCCGACCTCCCTTGCCGACCTCGTCCTCAAGAATTGCAGTCGCTTGAAGAAGCCCTCGCAAAAGAAGCTGCCTCCCTCCGACTTTGAGTCCTCCGCTTCTGGTCCCGACCTCCCTTGCCGACCTCGTCGTCAAGAACCACGACCGCTTGAAAATGCCCTCGTGGAAGAAGAGGCTACCTCCCTTTGACCTTGACTCCTTCGCTTCTGGTCCTGTCGCAACCCCACTTGTAGCAACACCGTCGGACGTTGGAACTCGGCCCGACGCCACCTTTGTAAACCGCCTCCGTCGTCGCTCATTTCTAATAAGGATGTCGAACTCGAAGGGTTTTATTACCTTTTTTAGGCGTACCACTTGATACACCCTGGTGTACCGTTCAGTACCCTGTACCATACTATACCAAGCAAAGCTCGGTATACCGGTACAATACAAAATTAAAAACCTTAAATGTAATAACACATTTGTTCCATCCTTCAGCTTTAAATCCATTTTCTAATTTCTATCCATAATTATCCACCTCTCATCATTGTTGAGTTTCCATAAGAAAAGCTGGTCTAAATTGCCAAACAAGAAATGGAAACAGGCACCGGTGCAGAACTAGTGGAAGCTGAAAAGAAGCACAAAATATTACTTCAACAATGTAAAGCTTAACAATCTAGAGCAAAATGTTCGTAGAGGCGTCTCTGCTGAGACATCCGGGTTGATTAGTATATTATTGCACAAGTGATAGGTCTCAAGTTCGAGTCGGCATGTGAACATCACCATTTGAATGTAATGAAAATTTCTTTCAATTTTTTTAAAAATGTTCATAGAGGTGCAAACAATAAGAATAATTAATTGAATATTGAGATTGTTCAAGACAATCTGGCTTTTGTTTTGCTCTCAACGTCATATCTGCAATTTTCTGCTAAACTAATCACATACAAAAGTAATCATATATTTGGCTTTGGTAAACTCTAAATATGAAGCAGGCCTACAAAAGTGCAGCTGGAAACACTGCCTCTACAGGCACCGCATACATTTAAGGAGATTCTTTTGGAAGAAGGGTCTAACTCCTAGGGGACATGAAATACAAATTGGAAGTGTTTGAAGCTGCTAGTTGACTTAACAATGTAAAAAAGGATTCTGTTTTTCAAGTCAGCTTGAAATGGTGATATTTGCCCATACCCTTCTGGCACAACATGGTACCAGTAGGCACACCATGACAAGCCAAAATTTTGCCTAGGCATGTGTCGGTTCAGCACCACCTTTCTAGAATGGAATGTGCCGACCTTTATCGACCAGTGCCAACCAACACAGAAATACTTGCTATTTTTTTACTAAATTTCTGTTGATCGTTAACTATATATTTTAGTGGTTTGTAAAATAACTAAACAAGCTAAAAGTAGGACATTGTAGGATGAATATTCCTCCTATGCATGAATTTATATCTGGTGACTCCTCTATGGAAGATAGGTTAAAGATTCCTGTACAAGTTTGAAGTCTTGGCCAAGGTTCTGAGAGAGGAGAATTTTAATTGTTTCCTTCAAAGTCATATGCTTATTCTGGGTCCTATTGAGATCAGGAAAGGGTCCTAATACTGCTGATGATCAAATGCACACTATTTATTGCTTTCGATAAGTGAGGAAAAAGAAGGCTGCAAGCCTGTCTTTTTTTCACTGCTTCCTATCTCTAAACCTCCATTCTATCACAAAGTCATTTTTTTATTATTGAATTTCATCTCAGAAACTTTAGCTTCCCTTTTCTCTGTGTAGAATTGCTGCTTGTGGAAAGTCCAGTTCAAAAACTTTGTCCACATAAAGGAGATGGAATTTGTAACTAATGAATTGCCATTGAACATTGTGTTTTATAATCAAGTTGGGTAATAAAATACAACTAGAAATTGCAATACCAACAAGACTTGTTACAGAAGAGTTACAGACAGATTTTTTAAGAAAATTCAGATACACATTATAAAAGTATAACTCACTGAATGCGTAATGTTTTCGAGAGAATCCACAATGCAGTGAGCATAGTCATAACTAGGATATATACACCACTTCTCACCAACTCGAGGATGAGCAGTAAACTGTAAAGTGTGATCAACAAACAAGTTAGGTATGTAAATATTACTAGCAATCATCCATAAGAATTTTACAGGTAGTAACCCACCTTAATACGATATGCTATCAAATCATACATATTTTTGTTATGACTCTGCATATCTTGCTTTAGCCTTAATGTTGCCTTGCCCTCATCAATGAAGCCCTGCCTCATGTCTTCAAACAACTTCAATGATTCTGCTATAGGTCTATCCCTCCATGGGCTGTTCATTTTCTTTTCTCTATACTCCTTGACTTCTTCAGGGCTCTAGGGACAATAAGAAAGGACAAGAAATACCATCTAAGAAGTTAGATCAAGAATTCTGCTTCTCATTTCTCATATTTTTTAATGAGAACATGGATATTATTCTCACATCATTAACACACTTCACAGAAATACTAATAACATGTTCTATATATATACGCAAATAATGATTAAACAAACCTGATGATCAACATAAGCTAGACCTTTGTGTATCAGCTTGACTGCTAGATCATAGAGTTCTTGGAAATAGTCACTGGTATAGGTAACCTGATAAAGAAAACTACTTGTCAAATAATGCTCATCACAATAAAAAAAGCAAAGAAACCAAACATTCTAGACCTTGAAAGGCTGCCAACCCATCCATTGGATGTTTTCTTGGATATGATCAATGTATTCTCTTTTTTCGACATCAGGGTTGGTATCATCAAATCTAGAAGGCAGAAAGATAAGTAGCTATCATCATGATTCAGAGGTCTGATATTTGGTGAAACAAACTCTATATTTTTGTATCAACATCATAGAGTAGTATCAAAAAATTTCTTGTCGTGAATTGTCCTGTAAAGCTGACTCCTAAGATTACTGAAAATATTCGGAGTTTCCTTCACAAACTGTTCAATTTTTGACATAAAAGGAAGACAAATAAATAGCATGTATCCAATATTTTAAACAACGAAGAGTTTATTCAACCAATATTGTATTGCTCATAACTTTTTCTTTCATAAGTATGTGGTAAGGTGGATATGTGAAGTGTGATAACTGGCATTGATGTGAATAACATGACAGAATAAATCAACATGACAATGAGTAAAGAACAGCACCAAAGATGATATTTAAGTATTTGTCCATGGTGCGCGGTATAGCAAATTAGTTAGCAACACAACAAATTTTCATTATGCAGATATAAGTCATCTTAGGCAAGCAAAAGTTTGTCAAATAGAAGCTAATAGCATATATAGAGACAACATCTACTAGTGGAAAGCAAACTCATACTGAACACTCTCAAAATGAAAAGAATATCCTACTCACCTTAAGTAACATGATCCACCCCTCTCTTCTGCCAAACCAAAATTGATAAACAGTGCCTGAAGATATAACTACATATATATAAGATTATCTCCATGAGACTATGACACCAAAAACATGCTCTTACAAGCACAATAACTCTACCTTAGCATGACCAATGTGTAAATATCCATTAGGTTCAGGAGGGAAGCGAGTGAAAACCCTCCCGCCAGTAACCTTAAGATGTCTCTCTAGTTTCTCCTTTGTATTGTGAGCCCTCCAGATATCTCCATTACTAAAGAAAATCTCTGTATGAACCTGACATAAAGGATGTCCCATCAGACAGAGACCTCATCATATTTCCAGATTTGAAACACAAATGAGGTTGTCCACCAAATAATAAAAAACATATACTAATTACAAAAAGGTTGAAATCTCAAAATAAATTCTTTTAACACTGCAAATCATATACACCTGATATGGATATGTATCTAGGTCATAATTTTGGATCCTGAAAACAAATTACAGGAATTAGAAGATAGAATTAAGGAACTTTCAATTTTCAAGACACAAACTAAAGCCCAATTCCACGAAACATGAAAACAACATACTGTTTCAACAACACATGTAGTAAGAAATAGAATAGAGAATGGGGTGCCAAAAATCACAATTCAACAGTACTTCCCCATTAAAATACAATAATAGTTCCCCATTAAGTTGAATATCAAGTACGAATAGCTAGAAACAAAACTCCTACAAGATTCCAACATTGCAAAGGTCAAGGTAAAATTGTAAGGGTCAACAGTGGATAGAACATCCTTGATGACTGGTTTCTAAATCCAAGTGCATGCACTAATCAATATGAGTACAAGGTCATCCTAAAATTAGTTGAATGAAGCTACACGATTAAACTCCAACAGGCAAGTGTGCAGCACAGTAGAAGCAAATGGAAATGTCACAATAACTAGATTGAGTCTTCTTTCCTCTGCTTAGGTTAGGACTGGAGAGTTAAAATGACCTTTCTTATTTTTCCATATGTTCTTACATACTTTTGAGTTAATTAGGTGAGGCTTTGTGTTAGGTTGGATTTACTTTAACTGCTTAAGAAACTTTTGATTAAAAATATTTTTCATGGGTCCGTTTGTCTCTAATTTGGATCAAATTTTAGGCCAGTTTGAGGTCCTAATTTTAGTTTCAGCTTATTTATTTAGAATTAGTCTCAGTTTTAGGTTTGAGTTTCTTGAAATTTGGACCACAAGTATCCTGCTGTAGAGGGAAACCAGGAGGTAACGGTTCAAGGTACTGTCACATTAACAATCATGCTGTACAATACCCAAGCTTCAGTGGTTTCTAATTTCTATCATATCTTACTGAATTCAGATAAGGAAAGAAAATATTAGATTATTTACTTGAGAGAGGATATTCTTAGGCTAATAACAGGGTGGTCAAACAGATATTAGCCATATCAGAATTTGCAATAGGTTCTCTCTGAAGAGCAAATATCCTATAAAGTACATCAGGCAGATATCAAGAGGTTAGCCAGGTGACAACTTTTAGCGTGAACCTATTAATAGAGATCCCCTCCAAGAGTCAAGGTTCACTGGGTAGCTTAGCCAGTTATGTATTGCAAAGATGAAGATTGAAGCCATTAGATTTAATCGAATATGCTGTAACTGACAGTTGGCAGAATATGTTAAAAAACAAATTTAATGATGACTACTCTTCTCAAATAAGGAGAGAAAGTTGGTATTGATATAAAATAAAATGGGTATTGTTACCCTATGGTAGGGCTTACTTCTGGAACAGTTCAATATCGGCCAACTTATTGCTGGAAAAACCCAACAAGGTGAACCTAGTGGATGGTAAGCTTGGTTTTGGATTAGACCAGGAGAAATTGTTGAGTCCACCATATTGATCAACCATTGGAATAGTAAATTAAGTAGATTCTTGTTTTTGATGAAATTGTAGGAGCCTTACCATCTGTTTGCAAAATGAAACTTCTGTTTTTGATGAAATTTTCATATAAAGTTTTTCTTTGAACAGTATATGTTCCTATGCTTGTTAAATTAATCAATGTATTCCTTGTTGATAATGTGTTTTTGCATTCCTGTTGTGTTTTATTTTAATGAAATGATGCTATAGGTAGTTGCTTGCACAAGCTTTATCATCTATTTGCAACAAATAAAAATATGAGATATTGCAAGACTAAAATGCTTCTCATACAATTTGATATATGCAGGGTCACAGAGGACACAATTGAAGATAACGTTTCAGATGGAAAAAAAAGAAGGCAGGTAGGATGGTACAACTAATATGTAATAATGGCCAATATCAGAATTTCTCGACAGAGGAAAAAACATAGAGAAAAAAGAAAAAGAGAAGAAGAAACGTGAGGAAATAGTCAACCAACAGCATAAGAACAAAGGGTCTGCAAAGCATAAAAATCCAATACCCCAGTGAAAAGAAATCAAGCATAGCAATGTTATCCCCAACAGAGTACTTAATTCTAACTAGGGCACTTCTAAAAATATAAGAGCTGTATAAGTAGACCTGCTCATCAAATCTCCTACCATATATAGAGAGAGATGAAAGAAAAAATATAACACTGTATAAGTCACCAACACAGAGTATAGATTAATTTTGCAGCTTTGTCCAACATGTTTACTGAACAAAATCTATCAGACATCAAAGAAGCCAAGCTGATGACAACAGTTAGAAGACAGTCCAGGATATCCAGTGCAACAAAGAAAATCTAATGCTCACAAGTTATCAAAGTAACAATGATGAAATATGTAAAAGAAGTAATTAGTGATCGATACCTTATAGTTCTCTGCTGGTTCTGGAAATATCAAGAAAGGATTAACTTCCTCTTCCAATGTTAGGACAGGTGTGATTGCTCCATCTGTTTGTTCCTAAAAATACAAGCATACTGTTATGACAATCTACCAAAGACCACAACTGCATCCTACCAAATGCTACTAACATACTCACCTCAATTTTAACAATTTTTTGTTGCTGCTTTTTCAAAGGCTTTTTATCATCTTCTGCTGTTCTTTCCCCAAGTATCCGATGAAGCTTCTCATCAATCACCTCCTGATGAAGGAAGTAAATAAGAAGACCCAGAAAATTTCCTAATTTTTTAACAGAATCTTTAATGATAATTTTTCTGCATTATATTAACTATAATACCTTAACAATTTTGGCATTAGCCCACGGTTGTTGTTTTCTGACTTGCCCACATAGATTGCCAACTGAATTAAACAAAGTGACCATAACATCAGGGTGGAAAAAGTCAAGCATATTTGAGTAATCAAATTAATAGGAAAATGCCTGACATGGGGAGACCCACGTGGGCTGGCCCAAGGAGCATAGAGGCCTAGGTGAGCTAGGCTTGTGGCCGAGGCTCCGGTCTAATGTAAGGAGGCCCAAGAGTCAAATCCAATGCAATCATGCAGGCGAACAACCCAGCGCAGATGGACCCAAGCATCCAACTGGATGCAAGTGACCAGAACATATGTTGTGCATTCATCTCAGAAACACTTTATAACAAATTTTAAGAAAAGTATGGTGTAGCATGCATTTTGGAGGCATAGCCAGGGTATTAGGCCTGCAATTAAAGTGACCTAGGAAGAATAGAATGGTGAATTAACAGAACAGGAAGAGAAAACATGGCATCTGCAGCTAACAACCTTCTTTTCTTAATACACTTGTATTAGTTTTGGTTTACCTTGTTTCCAAACAGTCCTCTCTATGTTAAACATTCTATTCTATGACTCTGAACATTGGCAAATATAAAACACAGAAAATTAGACAAAACCTCTGTAATTTACAGAATGTAGGAACCAATGATTTTCTGCATAAAAATCAAACACATCGTGCCTAACTAAACCATTAATGGCTTAACATATGCTGACAGCATGTACTACCAAGAAGACTAATGTTAACAGATTCTGCACAAATTATATTCAACAGTAATCACATATTTATCGAAAAGAATATTATTGCAAAATCTTAAAAGATATGACAAACTAATTCCAAGACCCATAGACTCAATCTTAAAATCTAATACGACTTAGTTTATACGTAATCCTATTCAAGGCTTCATTAGAAGAATGAATCTGCACCTTTTATCTTAAGCTTCATTTTGTGACTATTATGTCCTTAACTATTGATACTACCAAGTACCAAGTAACTATGACTGTGAATTCATTGGTCCCAAACAGCTCAGCAAATTTGAAGCATATCCATTAACTATTCACTACATTTATTGTTATGGTTAAAAAATAACAAAAAGTAGGACCACTAAATTTCCTCACAAAAAGAGTACGATTACTGAAGACCTAACAGAGGGAAATGTTGAAAAAATGATAACACATGTTTACGGTAAAATCTGTGCAGGTGACAGAAACCTTTATAGACAAAATTAAACCCTCTCAAGAGGAGGTAAGATTTTAACCACACATATTAGCACTCTAAATAATTGAAAGCAATAAAATAATTGAAACAGATTTTGCCTAGCAAATGCAAAAATGGAATTTCAAGTAAAATAACAATTAATCATTTGTTAATGAAGGTTAATTAAATTGCTGGAAAGACAATAGATTATCACTAAAGAGGCAGGCGCAGCCCTCAGCTAAAGAACTTCCATGCCATGTGTTCCAGCACGTGGCAGCCAGGGCCTGCATAGTATGTTGTCTAATTGTGACTGTTTTCTAGACTGTCACTCTCCGCAAATCATGTCACACAGATGCCCCTACTGGATATAGTTCTACAATCCATGCGCTGATTAAATTCATTAAATTATACATTTCAAATATTGAGTGAGAGATATGTCCCCTTCTAATTTGCAGCCTTCACTAAGTCCACCTTGTAAAATTTTGCATTTTTCTTACATTGATATACAAGTATTCTAAAGTTATTTTATAAAATTATTAATACGTCTTTATATCTCCATTCATCTCCTTGCATCTATGTACCAATACAACATGTCAGATCATCATACACAACAGATATATAATCATTAATGATTAAACATGAAAGAAATAATGACCTTTGGCATTATTTTCGAACACACAAAACAAGAATCATAAAATAACAATTAGTAAAATATGCAATAATATATAAGAAGAAACTAACCATTAATATGATAGCGATGTTCCAATATAGCATCCATATTTTCTTCCAGAACTGCAGCAACTGTTGAATGAATTTCTTCAACAGAAACATCAACTCCTGCAATACTTCACAAACAGCAAATTACAACAGTTGAAAATTGTGTTCATATATATGTACTAAAAGAAGTTAAAAGCCACACACTACATCATGCGAGATTGATGTCTGGAGATAATACCAACAATTTACAGTTAACAGACAAAAATATATCTCAATCAGCTTAAACGTTAATGGTCAAAAATTACAACCCTCTTTCATTGTTTTACTACCTATATAATAAACAGAAATAAGGGAACAAGTTCTATAATAAGTTCAACAAGTGTTATGCACTTTAATGAAGGAGCAAGAGAAAGCTATTGAGTATGTAAAATTGTTTCTCCTAATAAGTAAATGTAAGCCAAGGTTCGTCGTGCCACTCGATATGGGCGGTACGTATTGGTATGACAAGGGACTAGTATGGGCGATACATTAGTACACCTCATGTATCATGTATCAGTATGCTTGGTACAGCTTGGTACATACCGTATCGACAACTGGTCGGTACACCGGTATAGACAGGTAAGGAAAACCATGCTGTAAGCTTCCGCTTTTCTAGTATGTCATCATCAACAATAAGAGATATACAAATTTTCAAAGTTGAAAATGACATGCAATGAAACCAAGCTTTATGAGATGATGGGTTAACAGCTTTTAGTATTTTGTAAACAAATCAGTTTGTCTCGATGGCATTTTTAATCACCAGAATATGTGAATGTAAATTATAGTCTTTCCCTACATTCAGGTTGACAAAGTCTAGCAAAAATGATATTTTATATTGAAAAAAAAAGTCTTTGGAAGAGAAACCTAAGCAAATTGTTGATAGAATCTTGAAATGACAAATAATTTTTAACATTCTACGGTTTTGAGTCTGGGTAATGCCTCCAACAGGAATTAAGAAAAGAAAATGTATTCTTGAAATGTTATGATAGTAAGCAAACTCAAAATAAGATGTAAAACTAATATCAAGGTTCTGAATTCCATACTATACCGGTGTACCGATCAGCTATCGGCACAGTACGTACCGAACTATATTGAGCTGTACCAAATGAACCAACACATGGTACACTAAGATGCACCGATGTACCACCCATACCAGTCCTCTATCGAACTGGTATGTACTGCCCATACTAAGCGGTACGGTACGGTATTTCACACCATGACTAATATAACCTCCAGAAGTACAATGGCAAGTAGAAAGCTCAACTTTTAAGCCACAATAAAAAGCATGTAAAGCCCAAAGGAACCAAAAATGGTGTCATAATAATGAAGAACCCATTATCTGATGTTAAATTTACGCCTCTAAATTAACCCTATATAGTGCCAAATTTGTTGACCATCCTATTTTTCATGTAAGCTAGTCCATGCACTTGATTTAGCAAGCAAGATGCAATTTCAAATTTCAGAGTGGAAAGAGATGACAAACTAGCAGCAGAAAAAACTCTTTCCAGTTTCCACATCATCTCAGTTTCTTTTTAGATTTTGTGAATAATCTAATAATCTCTCGAGCCAACAAAAGTCTATGCCCTTCGGTTACATTCATAATAATCATCAGTATGGGAAGAATCACAAGAACCATACCTACACCACAAGCTTGTTCAAATTCATCCAAACTGAAGCTTTCAGGGCCAAATGCCCCAACAAATAACAAAGCTACATCAAGTTGGGCAGGATTCTTTATCTGCATAAACAAGTGAAATCTGATCACGATTTCCTGTGAAGTCCTGTTAAACAAAATAAATAACGAGAAAAAAAAATTCATTAATTAAGATCACAAAACTTTTTATTATGCGACACAGCTAAAAAGCTACCTTCGATGAGACAATGTACTGGACTAAAGTGGGCCGGTGAATGAGTGCATTTGCAGGGAACTTGGTCGCAACCTATCTCGCACACGAGAGGATCCAGAATTACACATCAAGGTTTTTAGCAGATCATGAGTCACCAAAAGTGTTAAAAGATTCATACCATGTAAAGAAGGTTTCCTATCGTCTTGCTGCATCCATCAACACCTGCCTGTGAGAAAGGGCTGAAGTACTCAGATTTGAATTAAAGAAGTCTACGTTAAACTGGCTAGAGCTAACACATACAAAAATTAGACATCAGTAAATCTGAAAGCTTAAACTATTAAGTCATGTGCCAAGCTTCAATATTTGGCTCTCATTTGCAACAGCCAATACCATGTTAAGATTTTAGGACTAACACAATGGACAGTAATACAATACACAAAGCTTAAGTTGTTAAGTTATGGATTAAACTCGACTCTTTCAATTCTTAGCATGTGACTATTCTTTATTTCATTTTCAATTTTCGACTCACATGAATACTTTCCTTAAAAGAAGAGATAAAATTTTAGTCTCGCAAGCTGCCCGAGAGAAGAATTGACGATGGAGGGTGTGTCGTCCGAGAAGCAGATGGGGATGGAGAGACGTTTACCTCCTTGATGACGGCGGTGAGGTTGGAGGTGACCCTCTGGTTAACGAGGGCACCCTCCGCCGTCCGCCTGTCCAAACCGATGGACAGGAACAGGTCCAGCGGCTTGGCGTCGCCATCCCCTACCGCCATCGTCGCGCTGGCCTCCGCCGCCCGCTTCTCGCCGATGGCGAAACGACCAAGAGAATGAGACTGTTCATATGGAGAAGACACATTAGAGCTTTTACATGTTTATCCTTTATATGTTAATATTCAACCAATAAATTCAAATTAACCAAAACTACTAATATTTAAATATTGAAATGCATAAAAATTCGCATTAATATGGTTAATTAAAACCTTAAATTCAAACATAAAATTTAGTGATTTATAGAAATACCGATAGGAACTTTCGAAGGGCATTAATATGTCTGCAGTTTCAACATCATTAATAGCTTATGCGCCAAATTTACATTGAGAGGGGCAAATGTGAAAATCTCGCTTCGTGCTTTCTCTTTTGTTTAAACACGTCGATCCAAGATAGACTCGGGACCCACTTTTGTGAGTGACGCCACCTCCAATAACAGGACCCAAATAATAGTTTGACCGACCAATTGTACCCACTACTCCTGCGACGCGTGGCACGGATGTCCCCACCACTCCATTTCTCTCCGTATTAATTATAGGAATAATTTATTATTTTCATTATCATACTTTTCTGTTTAAATCAAATAAATTTTGAATAATTTAATTTGGATTTAGATGGATTTGAGTTAAAAAGTAGTTATCCGATAATTTATGAATAAAATTTAATTTTGACAAAGGATATTATGGATATTATAAAAAAAAAAAAACATCATCTGAAATGAAAACAAGGATATCTTTCAGAAAAAAAAAACCCAAAAAGAAAATTATTCTTCATAAAAAATCATCAACAAAATTTATAAATATTTGCTATTTACATTATTAAATGATACCAGTAGAAGGTCAACTTGCATTTCTGCTAGAATTAACACAATAATGTCATGGATTCTGATCTGAGCCTTTGTTGGATAACAAAGATCTCAAAAGCAAATCTCATACAAGGGCATTCACACTGACAGATTTTATGACGGATCACTCATTGACAATCTAAACTTAGTCTTTTCAGCATCATAAGTCTCAACATGCATGGTCAATAATAGAAAAGGTTATTTAGTTAAAGAAGCAACCAAGCTATAGTGATGGTATCACTAATTACCTTAATGCAAACAAGAGCAAGGGTATCGATTTGCCTTCGAATTAGTTCCCTTATTTGCACAAATTTGGCAGGATAAGAATAATGCTCACACAGATGATATGCTGATCAACCAAAATTAAATGCACTTCAACAATGAACAGCTCATGAAGATGATACAATGATCAGCACAAACTTAAGACATCCTTGACACGCTACGCTGAACCATACAAACATTTCTGTGAGCTCCGGTAGCTGCTGCTGCAGTCGCGGCAGCAATCCCATTAAAGGGTAATTTTGGTTGCAGCAGACTTGTGTCCATCATGGTTAATTTGGATGGATCAGCCTTGGCTCCTCCCGGAAGATAGGAAGGGGTAGATCTCAAATCAAGAGCATTGTCTGGAAAGATCTTGCTGGACATGGATTGTTGCAGTGGATTATGTTGAGTATATCCCTGCTTGGTCTCTGTTGGGTCTTTGTTGGAGATCTCTGACTTGCCCAATGTTCCGCAGAAACAGCATGCCATGGGAATCATGGGAATAGCAGGTTGTGGTGGATGAACAGACTTTGGAATCAACTGCCTTGAATCATAGGCCACTTTGACACTTTGCTTGTCATACAGCATTACTGAACCAACAACTTTACCTAACCTATCTGAAAAAATAAACTGAAAAATAATTAGTGCAACCATAAACTACTAGCTATGGTGCATGTGTATCATCAGCTCTTACCGGTTGGAATTCTTTGACATGCCTGTGAATTCCTTTCCATATATCCAGTCAACCTTTCAGGGACATGAGCATGCTTATTTGACAGATCTGAGGCTTTCCTTAATGAACCCCGATTAGATTCTTCCTTTGGAGGGATAGTATTACAGTGGACCACTGTAGACCTATCAGAAGACCCCTTTTTTTTGTTAAACTAACAAACTCAAGTACAGGTAAATTAAAAATAATACAACGCATAGATTTAAGTTGACAGCAGAAATGGAAAACATAGAAAAATGAAAAGGTGGCCCAACAAGCAGTAGACTAGTTCCACATGAAAGAAAGTGTCTGTAACACACCGTAGCAACATCCAGCATCCATACAGATCATTTTTAATTTTCGTACACAACAACATAGAACAAATATATTATTATTATCACATACAGATCATTTTTAATTTTTGTAAACATCCACATAGAACAAATAATAACATATGTGATACTAGAATAAATTGCTTTTGATGATGAGCTTTGACCTCAAAATAAGATTACTCCTTTGTAAACGACCTTGTTACTTGCAAGAGATATAAACTGGTTTTTAAAGCATATCCATGAAAAAATCTACTTCAAACTATATGTTCTATATTTCTTCCGAGCACTCTCTGAACTATACTCTGAACTATACTCCAATAACAAGGTACTAAGCCAGATAACAGAATAATTGCTTGTGTACATAAAAATAGAGAGATACATTATTATATGCCACAGAAGCATGCTTAGGGTGCACATGTTGTCCAAATCCAAATTAGGTCACTAAAAATGCCTTTGGCATGATGTATATTATTGAACATTTTCTAACTTCAAATCCATGCTCAAAATTGTAGTGATGGAGTGATTGCTGACAATGTCAAGCAGCACCAACAAGCTCAATAGAAGCCAAAAAATATACCTTCCAAAGGCAATAAGAGGATAATAACTGACCATTGTGGTAATCAAGGATAATAACTTTAGCTACTACTTGTCTTCTGAACCTTTAGTAACTCTAAACTTCTTCTTGATTATCTATTCATGCAATATAACACAATTTCCAAAGGGTTGCCCTATAGTCCCAAAATTACCTAACACTTGAACAAAGATTTAATAATGTGAGAAAGCCAAATAGCAACAGCAAGCTTAAGATGAAGTTTTAAGCATTCAATCTAAATTCCAACAAATAAGCATATAGGGAAAAGACTGATTCTTTCGTCTTATCTGTGACATACAATCATGATTTTAATTCTCGATAGATCATATCAAACTTATGATCAAAATACTTAATTCTTGGCACTAGATGTAGCTGAATTGTATGAAAGGCCCATGTAGAAGGCTCCAAATAATTAAAATTTATGGCTCTATTGATGGCTACATTGATGGAGAGAATGATCCAAGATCCTCTCTATATAACACTGCTTTCCCAAAGCAAAAGCTAAGAAAATTGGACTTCTGAAGAAAAGAAGTATAGGTAGAATTAAGTCATTGGAAAAGATTTATGATCTTTTTGAATTATTGAACATCGGTGAGGTTTGGGAGATGTGATTTGAAGTCCTGAAAACCGCATTTTATTATGTGGCATGCATCTAATTCAAACAACAACAACTGTGTTTTTTCTGCTAGTCATATGCCTAAATCTTCCATTTCAATAAATGTATTTAGTTTACTATCATTCCTTTAGTGACCATCTATGTAGATGAAGACTAAGTTAAGAAAATTCAGAAACTAACTTTGGCGGATGGCATTAAGCAAAAACTGACTGTATGCTCTACAGTATTCTGATTACTGTTATCAAAAGGAATGTTTTATCGCCATATTGTGATCTGATGCATCCAATTCAAATCAGGATCAAACAGGACTGACCAAAATCCCAAATTCTCCAAACGAGTGATCTATTCGGCTGGATCAGCCAAAATCTAGTTCATCTTAAACAATTGTAGTTATTTTTTTCTGTTTTGATTGATTTCACATTAATCACTCTGGCGGATTCTAATTGAGTCTGGCCATATCCACTAGGTCTCCATGGGTTTCAGGCAGATTCCTTTCAGTTCCTGACACTGTCAGAATAATCCTGCCCAATTTCAGGATTTTCCAACAATGGATAGTCATTTCAAATGGAGAGATCTTGATCATGCATATCTTTGAAGAAAGTTTAAATCTTTGCCTTAAGAAATTGATCTTATTTTAAACGCTATTCTAGGCCCACTTAATGTGGACAATTCCTAGCATCAATCAAATAGCTAAGTATGAAAACTTGAACATGTATGATCCATATCAGAAGATATTCTTTACAGAAATAGAGCCTGAAAGTTAGATAAGTGAACCACGAGAGCAAGTTAACATCTATGCATGAACAGATCCATGGAGCTGATGCACCAATAGGCTACTCAAGGCATGCATATAAAAAATTAGAGCTGTTATTAAAAGATTAGATAGTTAAAGTTAAACTAATAAAGATTACCTAGGTAAAGAAACATGCTTTCTATCCAACATATGTAGATCCGTTCTATTACCATTCTCCTCGAGATGAGCAAATTGTTTTGTGAACTTATCAATAGCACTGCACAAGTAAAGCATGATAAGAATGTGAAAAGATGAATATCTTAGAATTAGATTCTTGAGGAGAAGGTATTATGAAGGTTAAACCTAGGATAAAGAAACTTTGCTCTCTCCATTCCGTTAAGGTGGTCACTCAGCAATTTAGGATGATATTCCAATATTTCACGAAAGATAAGTTCCTGAATCTCCTCTTTTGTAAGTCTTAGCTGCTCAAACTCAAACTCCATTTTTCTGATTGGCTTGCGAGATGGCTCTCTCTCCACTTTGGCAAGACCTTTAAAATATGGATCTGTCAGTGCCTAGAAACAAAAACAAGCAGTTTATTAGATATCTGCAGCAAGATTACCACATTAGAAATGACAGATATTAAGATATAATATTTTGCAAACCTATAAATGAATGCAGAAGCTAGGGGAAAAAATAAATAGAAAAGGCATAATTCTTATTGAACATGAACCTCTTCAGCAGATGGCCGGTCCTTAGGATCAAAAGCTAAAAGCTTTTTCAAGAGTCCTAAAGCTAATGGATCTGCATTTGGAAACTTCTGTGCAAATGATAAAGGTTGCTTTTTGCTCATGCTGCTCAAATACCTTTTTGCCTTCTCATTGCAGATCTGCATATAACACAAACAAGCATAAATCCATTAAAAGGATCTATTGAGCTTTCTTGAACTTTTTAGTATAATTAAGCACGTAGCCTTTTCACATAAAGTTCGAGTCAGTTGGCATACCTTAGAAATTGTATCTATGGAAGGGGCTCCTAGAAGATCAGTCATCAATTCCAACTGATGAACCACATTCTTACCAGGGAACAGAGGTTTCCCAGTTAAAATCTCAGCAAAAATGCAACCAATGCTCCAAATATCAACAGCAGGAGTATACTACAATATAATAAACTATTTTAAAACTCACATAAACAACTCCACAGTCCAAAAGAGAAGCTAAAAAAAATAAGGAAAATATGAACATGAGTACCAGCAAAATACTGATATTTTGACCCCTTAAGTAAAAGAATCCTCCCTGGACATGCTTATCTTTCTAATTTCATAAGTATACTGTCCTTAAGTTTAAAAAAAACCCACTAATAATAACAAAAACAAAGTAGCTACTCTAAGCCAATTCCAGGGTTCAGTTGGGATTAAGTATAACAAAGAGACATATGTTTCCCCTCAAACCAGAATGATGAAATATCACTAAGAGAACAAAACTCAACACCTATTCTCTCTATCTCCAAGCAAACAGAAAAAAGAATGCAATTATATCAAATTAAATGTTCAATTTCAAAGCTGTTAGTATTACAAAATTACAACTGCCCAACATTGATGAATTAATCAATAGCATTATCGTTTCACACCTTCAGAAAAGAAGTTACAAAATCATCATATTAAGTATGAAAGTGATCGTTTCTAAAATGAGACAGCTGAAGAGGACTAGTGTTACATTGGCATAAAAATTGGCAAAAGCAACTGGATCATGTCTTCTATACACAGACAGTAAGTGCACAGTGTTTATTCATGTAGGAAGCAATGTGATCTAGCCAACAATTCATAGAATATATATCAATAATTATGTTGAAAAAGATCCATTTCCTAACTCAAATTACTATAGACGATGGAGGAATACAAGGCAAGAAGCATCTAGATGTCAAGATGGTAATTCATTTTCACTTCAGAATCAATGTCTCAGATAGAAACAAAAACAAGTACAAGGAAGTTGACAAAAAAAAAAAAGATGACATACCCATGTCAAGGCACAGAACAAATTATATAGAACAATAGGAGCCTTCTGTACATGTAATGTGTATCAAATAGGTGGCACTGAACATGTCTCAAAGTCAAAGTATATGCACAAAATGAAGCTATAGAACAAATGCAATCAAAGTGTTCACAGTTAGACAAAAGACTAATAACATGTTTAAAGCACCAAAAGTAATAACTTTTGAACATAAAAAAAAATTAAGAAAGATAAGGAGCAAATATTGTACCTTACCAAAGAATGATCCACATAACTCAGGAGCTCTGTACCACCTTGTTGCAACATAATCCTACAATATATAAGAGTTCCAGAAGGACAAACAACTAAATAATCTCAGCTTAGAAGAAACAGCAACAAAGAATTTGATAAGCTAATAGATATGAATCATAAATTATGAAATCAAGGGTAATTGCAACCTGCAACTTCATAACGTACCGTCCAATATATTGTTGTTGGTGCATCATTGAATGCAACTCTTGCTAATCCAAAATCACATATTTTGAGCTTGCAGTTTGCATTTGCTAATATATTTTTTGGCTTTAAATCACGATGATAGACATTTGCTGCAGTAAGATTTATCATACATCAAAAAAACTAGAGTTGATTGTTGCTACAAGGTACAGGCAAAAAGATAGTAGAAAGTGGCCACAAATGTATACATAATGGCCTATATGTCAATAAGAATGATAATACAATAACAATCGTTAAATACGATTCTAGAAAAATAGACTATATTATATTTAAAATGATGGATTAATCGAATGCAGAAAAAGAAAATAAACTATACGCAGGCTGGTTTAACAACATCAAGACTTCAAATTATTTTCAAGGTTATTGCATTTATGTGCATGTGAAATTCCTGTTCATAAGAGAAAACTATGTTCAAATAGTATTTACAATCTTTAGGATGATGGTTACTAATTCTACTAAGGCAAAACAGAATGGTTTAACCAAAAGCATAATAAACCAGGACAAGGTCTTCGATGGTTCTGTAGTTTTCTAAAAGAAAAGATATTAAACAACAAAAAGTGGATCAATCAACTTGAGGTCAAAGTTATTAAAAAAATAAAATGGCAAAAACAAATCAGAAACAGAGAAGACCAGCCTAATAGAACATAAAATTGAGTCGAATGGCATGATCGCAGTCCACTGTCACCTTTTAGAAGTAAATGACATTGATTTTCTATGATCCTTTTCATAATCCTAAGAGGTAAGACAGGGCAAAGAGCAAAGTTCAGGACATCACTTAATTTTCCTGATGAAAATGTGAAAGGAAGAAAAACAGGTAGACTCAGGTATCACTTAAGGAAACCAAATGAACATGACATATGACAAAGGATCTATGCAGAATATCATGTTCTTAAGAAAACGAGGAAATGTGCTAAAATAACAATCATCTAACCATTTTATGGTTTATTGGTTGAGAAAAACTCAGCAAAGAAAAGGTTATCAGATAATGGCATGTGCTAAAGGAATACAAGTTTGAGATGTGTGTGTTTATACCATCAAAAGAAAACTGACTAGTGACACGAGGGATCTCTCTGTAAGCAGTAAACAATTAATAATTTCATACAATATTAGCATACTTTGTACTTAAAAAGCAACAATAGAAGAGGTAAGGGACAATTAAGAACTGCATTATACAACAACAGCAAGTGCACATGGTAGCTGATAATTGGATCCATACCTGCATGGATATATTTTAGTGCACGTAGTAGCTGATAGAGAAAAAACCGATAGTGTTCGCTTGTTAAGTCATCATTAACTTTGATGACTTCATGGAGATCCGATTCCATGAGCTCAAAAACAACATAAATATCTTTGAAATTCCTAGTCGATGGAGGCAACAAAATGTGCTTGATCTCTACAATATCAGGATGCCTAAGAAGCCGTAGAAGCTTGATTTCACGGAGAATCCGAGCAGCATCAGACTTATGTTCAAAAATATTGTTTATCTTCTTGATCGCAACTTTCTCTCCAGTTTGTGTATCAACCGCAGAACAAACTACTCCATAGCTTCCTTTTCCAATAACCTCCTGAATTTTGTATCTATTTACATTCCCATACTCACTGAAAAAGTCCAGTTTAGGTGAATTCTGCCACAAGATGATCAGTGGCAATAATACATCAGACTAAAAGGATTGGTGTGCAACAACAAGTCCCATAGCTACATGTCACTAAAAATTCCAGATTAAATCAGCATAAAATAAATAAAACAATCTAAGAGTTACAAAACAGAAAACACCCGGATAACAAATAAATAATTAATTCCAGAAACTACAAAGAATCATGCACGAGAAGATCTATCCAAAACGGGGCATCAAAAAAGATCTTTTTTTCCCAAAAAAACATATGCTCTAGGTTAAAAGAAAGTAACCTAAGAAGAAGCTTAGAAAGAAACCAATCAGGGAAAACACACATCACGCAAGCCTAACCTTCTTTCGCTGGTCTTGCGGCATTTGATTATAAATCTCCAAGCCGTTCGATCAAGATCCCTTCTTTTGCCTTTAATCTTTCCTCCCGCTACTCAATAGACGCCTTAATCCAATCTGTCTCGGAAAACTAACGATGAGAAACCGATATCCCACTCAATTGTCTTCCCATCCAATATCACCAAACCACAATCACGGATTGCAGAAGCCCCACATCCTGTTATCCTCCTGCTCTGCGGCTTCTGCAAAGATCCGATTCCCTGACCACCACCAACTCAAATCACTCCGCGCTTAAATCACCACCACGGAGATTTGCTACGAAAAATACGGAGAAGAAATAAAAAACGATGCGATGTGACACCTAAACCTACCTCCAGCTCAGGTTTTCGCATATAGGAGGAGGAAGAGAAGAGGGCGGAGAGAGCGGAGGTGAGGAGTTCGTTCTGTTGGCGTAAAACATGAAATAGAGCGTTTCATATTCTTCTTATGGTCGATTCTACCCCTCCCCTTGCACGCTACGGTAGTGGCATTCTCCCGTAATTAAGAGGCCCTTATAGGGCTTTTCTAAAAAATCAAAATTGTATATAAACCTCAATTTATATATATATTAAAACTAAGATTAATTTAGACAATTAGATTGTATCAAAAAATGTTAATTTGTTAGGAGTATTTATCTAAGATCCTCTCTAAATCATAAAAATTTATTTCTATAATTGTATATTAAAACTTGTTTTGGTTTTAATCCAACAAATACTATCAAAAGTGTATTTTAAAACATATCACGAATTCACCTTCGTCACTTATCCTATGTGAAAAAAATTAAATTAAATTATTTCTGTGGAATAGTTCTTTTCTCTTATTTTCTTACATTATTTGAAAATAAAAATTATATATGATAGCAATGATGGAAATCATGAACTACGAACCAGAGTAGCAACCATGTTAGATTTTGAATTCAATAAGCCTAAAATAAATTGATCAGTTTAATATATATGCAGGATTGTGTATTCATTCAATTCAAGATTCTTAAGCTGTTAAAATTATAAATCAAATCCTGTATATGTTATCCGACTTTTAATCAATAATAATTAGAATTATCCATTGATTCTCTTTCATATTCATCTCAAACAGTGCATGGAAAAAGATTTGATGGTGATAGAAAGCATGGATGGTGGTAGTTCCTACAAGATAAGATCGAATAAGTTTCCGAGTATTAGATGCTGAGGAACCTACATGTGTGGGTGGGTGGGTTCTTTCCACCTATGAAAACAAGAACATGGAGGGGGACAAACCACTTGGTGGCAGGAAGCTTGTAGAGATGCACTATAGAGAATGCACTTTTGGTAGAGCATGTGTTTTGGATTGACATGTAAAGGTTATTTTAGAAGACTGTCTTTGTACATATCCATCAAAAAAAGCTAAGAAAGTGGCTAAGAAAGTGCTATTCCAGATAACATTCTGCAGTGTCTTTATCAAGTTTGTGTTCTTTGTCTCCTTGGCTTGGTTGAAGGATAAGAGAGATATGCCCGTCTATTAATCTCCTACATCTCTTTATCTTTAGCTTCCTTATCTGCAGTAGTTTTCTTGATGGAAAGAGAAGTTTCAATTAATTGTTTTCTTATCTGCAGGTTTGCTATTTTGTTAGACAACTCCACAACTCCAAAATTCCAAGAGATGAGTCTTTGCAGGCTCAAAATATGTGACCTTTGAGTTTGCTGATTTAACTGCTGTCCAAATCCTCCATCTAATTTCCCATAAATAGCATGTCCTTTTATACTTTCTCAAGTGTTTTGTTTTGTTAGAAGCTAAATTCATATTTCATATAGGTTCTTTGGCTATTTGCCAATTTAGCTTACATTTTGATCACTGTTCAATAAAAGCAGAAATCTTCACTCACAGTATACCACTGAGTATATCAAATTGACCAAGAAACAAGGTTCTGGTCACTCTCATACAGAATGAGTGGAAACAGTTGCATATATCATGAACAACTTTCAATTTATGCAGAAATAGTAAGAAGAAAAAGAAAGCATCCAACAGGCTCACAATCAAGTGAAACAGTAAACTGAAGAATGAGATACCCCTATAGGAGCTTGTAACTTTCAATTCTCATTCAGAATCATACTAGATATCACAAAACTAGGTATCATGAACACCTTTTGACTTTGCAGAAAAGGGTTAAGAGAAAAAAAATGATATTATCATACTCTGAAAAGAGCATGTATCAAGATTTTCCATGAGCTGCTATGTATAGAGACCTCAGCTGCCTGTTTATGAGCTTACTTTGGTGGAGAGCCTGTTGGAGTTCAATGTCATCAGACCACCATTGCTCCAATCCATGGGCTTCAAGGAACTTCCGCGGCCCCTTAGTCATGACAAAAAGCTTTGCCACTGCCTCTCCTGAACTGTTGTTAATCATCTTGGCCTTGTCTGAGCTAACATCAGTAGCAACAGCAGTGCCAGCAGCATCAATGTAATAACAACAAATATAGTCACTGTTATTTACATACAAATGAGGCATCCATTTCTTTATCTCATTACTGAACATCTCTCCATTTGCAGAAGCTTTCTCCTTCTTATCAATTGAAACTTCACCTTTTGAAGGCAGTATGTCCTTAATTTTCTTCCAGAGAAAGGCTGCCTTCTCACCAGCACTTCTGAGACTCATTGCCACTGACACAGATGGTGGATTAAACACATGGCACTCCACAAAAACACCTTGTTTGGCCAATGCTTTGCCTACTTGCAGAGCAAATCCAGCTCCCAAGGAATGCCCAGCAATACTCACATTGCTGCTGCCAAATCTGTCAACCATCAGCTTAAGTGCTTCTAGAGCTCCATGAAACCTGACCGAACCTTTTAAGCTTTCCCAAGCCAGGAAACGCAGATCATCCTCTAAATCTCTCATAATGGTTGGATTCTTCAGTAATGTCCCCCTGAGTGCTAGGACAGCCCTAGGTGCACCAGCTGGTTTCATCAATATCAGTTCAGACAAAGCAGCAGATCGGTCCCACTCTAGAACTGCACCATATATGGAACCATCTCTATCATCCACCAGTGTCTGTGTTCGCTTATATTTAAAGGGTTTCCACCATTTTGGAGCGAGACCATTCATTTCAGTTTTTTTATCTTGTCTATCTAGTTCCAGCAAGTAGACCGCCTGAATGAAACATGCTATTACCATCCTTTTGTAGTTTGGATCTTTCCTGAAGCAAAATTAAGAGTGATTAGCATAATGCATCAGAATTTTAAAATATGGTTTGAAAGGATGTATACCTAGAAAAGTTCCAGAGACAATAAAAAAATCAGTGTTTCAGAAAAGAAAAGAAAAAGGTAGAACAAGAGTGGTGGTCACTGTCACAAACAAGACCATGAATATAATGATTATTCAGAGCTCTCCTCTTGATGGACAACTTTGCTAATTTCTGTACACACAGTGATGCTCAGAATAATCAAGGGTGAAGTAGTCCATTGAGCATTTTGCTGACCAAAAGTATCTTAGGTTTGCTTTTTCAGTTAAAACATGAAATAAACAAGTATGCAATCAGCCAGTAATTACTTTCATGCTATTTCATGGTTTTATCTGATAAGTTGTTTGAAACTTATATATAAATTCTTTGTGCAAGAATATGCAGATTATGAAATAAATTTCAATACTAGAATGGACTGTTAATACCTCTATTCTTCCTTACAGTTAATTTCCAAGGCTAGGGAAGTTCAGACGTGGCATGAAACTAGTCTTAATATATCTTTTAGTTGAGAAGCATATTAGTGATTGATTATATTGGTTGATGTGAGATGTCTTACAGTGTTCAGGCTAGACAACTACTTTAGATCAATCGATGGAAAATATTGCTTCACTCTCATTCTTCTTTGGGCTTTTGGCCATCCAATGGTAATGCCACCACATTTTCAGGTTTATTGCCTGTAAATGGAGTGAGATTGAAGGAAATAAATAAGATTATAAGACTAAATGCTCATGTAGGAAATTGCTTGCTTCAGGTGTTGGTATAGGAGCATTCAAGATGTGGGAAACAGAAAACAGCATACCTTAAATAAGTAGAGAAGTTATTGGTCTTTCTATGACAAGCAAAAGTATGGTTTAATCTTTACACTAGCAAGTAAAAAGAATTATTTAAAACTATGTTGAAAACTATTCTAATGGATTTCATATAAAATTTAGCTCATCGAAGCATCATATCATGGTTTTAACTTTTATGAGACTAATTAGACCCATCTGCAGAATCATCCTTCTACAATATGGATACTTTAACCCATCTCATGCTTGCAGATTTATTAAGCAGAGGTAAAAATAATATCATGATTTCTATTACTTGATGAAGATGAACATTTAACCACACAAGGGATATAAATCGATATGGAGTTCTAGCTTTACCTAAAAAGTTCTTTTCCTTCGACAAGCTCAAGTTCACTTAAACAATGGAGATTAGGTAGATCTCTGGCATCATCTATATCCTTTATAAGTCCATCAACTATTTCCCATCAAACTAAGCTAGTACAATCTATGATTGTTTCTTGTTTAATTAGGAGAAACCCAAAACCCACGTAGAAAAGAAAACCAACAGGGTGCTCATCTGGACCTCAAACTCCCAATTATACCCACAATTAAAAGATACCGTACCAAGACAAAACAGAAAACCGTAGGACACTCACTCTCTCTCTTTTCGATTGAAGATACTTTGCATCCCAATTTGATGATCCCCAGAAAGAAAAAACTAAATAAACACTAAAATGAAAGAAATTGGAGGGTAAAAAACTCAACTTTCTACAAGGTGGCCTACTCCACAAGAACTTTCAGGCAAGAAACCCTAGAAACCCACCCCAGGAACAACTCTAAACCCTCGAATACATTTCAAGAACCAAACTTGGTTAAGGCAATATATTTTTTATATATATAAGTCGATAGAGAGAACCAGGTTCTCCAATCAGGAGAGAGAGAGAGAGAGAGAACCAGGTGGAGCGGATGAGATCTCTCCAGTTAGGGGAGGAGAAGTTGCGTGGACCAGACACATGGAAGTCGAACGGGTGGGCAGCGACCGTGGCCGACTCGCTTGTCCCCTCATGTCCTCCTCCTTCTCCTCCCTTCGCCGCCTGCGGTGAGCTCTTCGACATTTCACTTGACTCTCTCCTCGTCCTCCGACGGACTCTCGAATGCAACTGCCCGATCGAGAAGACTAGAAAGAGAAGAGCAGACGCGGAGAATAAAGCGAAAGGAGATGGAAGCTGGCGAGAAGAAAATATAAATATTCTGGAAAGGGAATTTTGGGAAGAATATGCGATTTTTTTTCTTTTTATTTTGCATTAATTCCTCGAAAAAGGCTTAATTTGGATGATTTTTCGAATAAAAATATCATATTTTGGATTTTTTTTTTCTCTATGCATCTATTTTCATATTGGTGCACTCTACTTTCATATAT